CTGTAATTTTTGCAGGTGTGTTTTATATTTACTTGTTTTTTTGAAACTTAGGAGATGCGTGTCCTCATGTGAAAACTAAGTGATATAAATGCTGCTTGGAAAATAATGCAGTATGTGTGACTTGCTTAATGTAAAACCTGATAGGCAGTCAAATCTTGTAACTCTTCACTTGCTATGCAAGTTATATGCTTCTAGATTAACCCCCCAAACTATATAGTATTATGCAGGAATGTTTTGGTTTTAGTACATGGAAATCGTCAGAGATTTCAGCTGGAATTTGCTTATTCTCGTCTTTTGTTAGAGCTTTGGCCTTGAGATGCTGCATTGCACTTGTATGAGATGTATGTATCATCATTTTCATTATTACACCACATTGATAACGAAGCTGTGCACGTACTCCTTAACTCACCAGCTGTAGGCTTGGTGGAGGTCATGATTAAGATGGCACATGGAACCAAAGAGAGGATCCTTGCTGCCATTTTAAGATTTGAAAATCAGATGTGTCTACACTCCTGGAGGAAAAAAAAATCCAGTCAGGCACCATCTGTGAGTCCTGAGTGCTAGTTCCCGCACCTGTAATTAAAAAACTGTGCTGGCTGCTTGGCTGAACCAGGGGTATGTTATTAAACGGTCCCACTTATTTGGTCTGAAATGGTCTTTAGGGGATCAGTGAGTGATCTTAAATGTTTTTGCTGGGTCTGGGTCACTGCATTCTGTAGGGTAAGTCAGGGAATGAGAGTTCAGCAAACACGTATTGAGTAGATGTTACATGCCAACAAACCAGCTTGTTGGAGCTGGCTTGGGTTATGTTGGACAGCGTTGGCAATGAGAGATTTCATTAGCTCTTCTGACCTTCTTCACTAGTTGAGCTAAGCCTGCCACTTCTAGAGGGAAATTTAATGTGGTTGTTGAGCCTGATTCTTGCTGTGTATTCTTTTTAGCCTTGATTGGTGTCTTCAGTGTGATTTAATATTTTCTTCAAGCTTTGTACCTACCTCTCAGATGGTTACTGTGCTAGTTCTATTTATAGCAAGGCAGGGAGGAATTTCTTCATGATATCTGAATACCAGGTGATACTGTGGTCCAGAAAAAAGAATTGCCAAACTTCTTTTTGAGATTCCAAGTGCTTTGATGTTTTGGAAGTAACCACTAGATTTATACTTAGACACCTGTGTTCGGTTCAGCAAACACATATTCAGTGTACATTATGTGTCAAACTCCATTGGTCATTACCCTTAAGAAGTACAAAGTTCACCCGGGGTCAGCTTTACAAGTACTCAGAAACTATGGTATAATGCAGCCAACATATACAATAACAGATGCCCAAGGCATAGATGCTGTGTGGATGGTGATTTTTATTCAGGGTGAGCAAAGAGAGTTGGGTTTTATGGAGGAGATGAAGACTGAGGATGATTCAGATGGATAAAGATTGGCTTTTTTAAAAAAATCGGGTTTTTGTTGTTGGAGGGCATTCCAGGCAGAGAGAATGTTATTGAGGGAGCATAATGTAGCACGTGGCAGGTAGCTTGGTGTTGCAAGGATGTAAATTGAGAAGGGAGTAATGGTGGGAGATGAAGGTAGAAAGGGATGCAGGGCATGTATTTTGAAGTGTCTGGCATGGAGCTTTGATTTTTTTCTGATGTTTAGTAATCAGCTAAAAGCAGTTGAAAAGAGCTAAGCCAGGAGAATGAAAGGATGGAATTTAGTTAGCTCCCTCTGATAGCAGTGTGGAGTTTGGATTGGAGAAGAGTAAAATTGGAGGTAGGAATACTAGGTAAGAAGGTTTAAAGAAGTTCCAGAATGAGTTTTAATTTAGGAAATTTGTTTAACTGAACCAAAATGATGAAATGACGAATGAAAGCATGACAAGGAGTTAAGGAAACAGGAAATACCAGAGAGGTAGACCGTGGAATTGCAAGGACCTAGAGATTGGTTATAAAAAGATGAGGAAGAGAGACTAGTCTGGGTTTCCTGGGTTACTGACATGGTCACCAAAAAGGAGAATGAAGAACAAATAAGTGGATTCACAGTGTTGAGAGAGATGAGTTCTGTTTTGAAGAGGTTGAGGTGGAGGAACTAGGGAGATGTCTAGGGGGAGGTGGCTGGTAGATAACCAGACGTGAAGGGGTGAGGTGCAGAGGAGAGGCCAAGAGGAAAACCGTAGATTGAGGGATCACCGGCACGTACGTGATGCTGAGGAAGGGAGAGTACAGGGAATGAGAAACAAGAAGAACCCCAGTGCTGGAACTCTGAGGAACATGCCGGGCTTGAAGCGTATTCTGTGGAGGTGGTGCTGGGAATGAATAGAAAAAGTAGGTTAGAGAGAAGGCGCAGAAACTGAGGGAGGAAACAAATTCATGAAGGAGTAGGTGCCAGTAGTGTCCAACGCCAGGAGCCACCTGAGATACCGATTGGCTTTGGAAGTTAGAAGGTCACTAAGTTTACAGCAGGTTGGGACAGAGGGGTGTCACTGTTGGAATGGTAATTTGCAGCCTCCCTTTGCTGCTTACTACTTCTGTGACTTGGGAACGCCGTTTTGTCTTTGGATCTGTGTGAAGAGGCGCTTGGCCTCTTTGTGGATACCAGCCTGTGATCGGTGAAGCAGAGAAGGTGCTTTGAAGCTCATCGAGGAGGTCAGGGTCCAGTCAGATATTTGTCGGAGGAGGAGGTCCAGGTATTCTATTCCTGATGCAAACAAAACAGCTGGAGTACCTTGAGTTTTTATCTATTTTATATATTTGACTTAAAGATTGTATTTGAAAAAACGTAGTACAGTATAAGAAATTTGAAAACTACTGGCTTATAGGAGTCATAGATACCTTCAAGCATTAAAAGCTATACAGTTAATGTCTGGTGTTCAAAATTCCTATACTAGTTGAAGATTATAACAGATACGGACTTGCTCATGATACAGATTTTGTTCCTAGGTCAACATTCAAGTCTGTGACTTTCTATTATAATAACTATTCTTGTTCTCATTAGGAATGAAAACTGAACTTCCAAACAACTGAATTCTATTTTCTACTTCATTAAAAACCTTTTTGTGGGAATTGACACATTGTAATTGACTGCACTTCAATAAAAAAGAAAAAAGAAAGAAACATTTTTTATGTGTTTTACCAGGTTCTGACTCAGAAGATCTTTTGGAAGAATTGCTCTGCTGTTTGATGCAGTTAATCACTGATACTCCACTCCTGTAAGTTCTGGCTAAGCCAGGATTTGTTTTATCTTCTTTGTATGTTGAAGATGGTAATTGGTCATGTTGAACAGTTTGTGGGTCGTGGTGTAGTACTTTCATGTATGCCTTCCCTGTACATCCATGCAGTTCTTTCTTATCTCTCCTGCCTGATAATATTTAGACCCTGACTACCCATCATCAGACAAGAATTTAATGTTGTTTAGAGGAAAATAAACTCTTCAGTGATGTTAAGCATGTGACAGGCACCGATGTAGATTAATCTCTGTAAACAAGGGTTTCAGACAGAAGCAGTTTGAAATTCATACATGTGTGGTGATGCAGCTAGTTGTCCATACTCTGTTCTCTCCTCCTTCCTTACTTCCTGCTTTTGTATCTGGCCTTTTTTGGAGAGGTCAGATTTCCATTTCCAGCCTTTCTTGAAGCTAGGTGTGGTCACTGAGATGTAGGGGGGAAGCCCTCCAGTGAAACTTATGGGTAGAGGTCTTTAAGGGGACCTGACTCATCTAGGGGGCATATCTTTTTTTGTGTGCATGTGCCAGCCCCTTTTCTGCTTTCTGGAATGTGGACAGGGTCTTTTTAGAGTTGTGTTGGACATTTTGGCACCATGAGCTAAGACACTCACAGAAAATTCTGCTTTGATGTCAATGAGCTACTGAACCAAAGTTACCAACTACTAATTCCCTGGTCCTGTTGACTTCTCATGTGAGAAAAATAGACCCTTGTTTGTTTATACTCTTATAACTAGATTTCTGCCACTACATCTAAATGCAGTTTCCTATGTGATTAAAATGTTTGTTGCTTTTAAAGCAGTTACTCACAACCTTATTTTTTTAATTGTTTCTCTGAGAGTCTTTTTAGAAATTTTTTTTCTTAATTACGTGTCTGAAGTCCTAATGAAATTTGAACACCCTAGATATACTGAGTATCTGTTTATGTGCTGTGGCCTTTTGGAGAGCCACTCATCATAATATCTATGAAATTTTTCACCCCAGAAGAACCAGTTTTCACCTGCTTGAGGGTGATCTTGCTAACCCCCTCCCCATTGAGAATGCATATTCTAAAGGAATTATTATTTTTTTAAAGGTAATTATTTTTGAAATAAAAGGGTAGATGTTAAAATTTATCATCACAGACTCTCAATCCGTATAGGGGTGTCGTTGGAAGCTACTTGCCTATGGCCCAAAAAGGAAAGACAAGTATTTGTGAGAAAACAGGCTCCTGGTCTCTGTTGGGCGCAGGGCAGCATCCAGAGTTGTACAGATCTAGAAATGAGAACCAGCAAACCCTGTTGTGACTTCGTCTCGTGATGTGCAGTTGGCAGGGAGGGCTGAGACAACTGAGGACTCACCCAGCTGGGAAGGGCCCGGGGAAACCATCCCGGGCAAGCTGAACTCTTGTAACAGACACAGCTGTTGGCACGCCCGATATACCCTTTCTTGCCTTCCCCTCCAGTGTTGTTAGGGAGGCAGTGTTTGCCCAGCTTTGGGCATGAGATGTGGCTCCGTGACATCTTTGGGGCCAGTTACACATAAGCAGAAGTCATGAGCTTGCAGGGCGTGTACCTTCAGCTCCTTGCCCTTTGCCCTGCTCTTCCTTCCTGGATGTGGAGGCAGTGCTGCAGTGCTCGGGCCAGCTTGAAACTATGATGCTGAGTGCCACACACGGAGAACCGTGTCCCAGGAGCGTGGGGTATTGATAATTTTATGCAACTACTATACCAGCCCTAGATGGCTTTATCTTCGGTTATCTTCTTAGGTGAAAAGAGCGAACACTTACTTTGGCTAACGTCTGTGTTTAGCTTTCTGTTACAAGTGGTCAAACCTGGGAAGGCAACACGTATACTGCTATTCACTTGTCATAGTATGTGTGATGCTTTGTAGGTTCCTAATTTAATTTTAAAAATAGCACCACATCTGTTACATTTACATCATTACCAAATACCAGCAACTCTGTATACATCCTACATGAGCATGTACTTTTTGTTTTTGTTGTTGTTGATAACTTCTTGGTGAAGTTAAGGGGCATGGAAATAATAAATCCCTTTGGATAGTAAATAAAACTGTGAATACAGTGAATAGACCAGCCACTTAACACTCTTGGGGAACAAGCAGACAGTGTTGTAATATATCAAACATTTCAGTGTTTTAATGTGTTTATACTTTCTAAATGAACTGAAAATGCACAGACAACCAGATGTCTTGTGTTATGTACACTCAGTTTTAACCAGCTGCTGAAACAATTTCTTATGATTTAATGTTCTTGGAACTCCATCCTACAAGAAGGTTTGTCTTAGTAACAGTTTCCATGTGAAACCAAACTACTCTTTAAATATTTCATCTCCTATAACTATAGTGCAGTGTTATGGATCAGCTTATAATTTAAGGAGGAATACTAACCTATGAAAACTGCGGATGCTCTAGGCCCACCTGACTACCATCAGTCTCGCCATAAACATTGACGTTGAACACTGGTGAGCCAGTGCTGTGTTAGCAGGTGAACAGCAGGAGAAATCTTATTTTGATGGCCATTGTGGATAATTCAAAACTAGCTTAAACGTTTCTTTTGAGACTGTGAAATCACTCTGTTAATATTGAAAGCAGGTGATTACTAAGAACATAGATATTTAGAAATCTAGATGTTTTAAATGATACTTTATTATTAAATGAACAGGATCAACGGCAGCAGTTTAAACTCCCAGAATTTGTAGGAATTGATTTGTAATGAAAATTGGCTTTGAAGTAGTGAGTGGCTACTGCTTCTTGGTTTGGATTTCTTGATAAAAGGCTAATTCTCTTCAGAGTCAGATTAAAATCGCACATCTTCAGGAATCCCTCCTTAACTCCCTACCTCAGCATTTATGTATGTATTTAAAAGAGAGATGAAGTCATTCAGTCTCATGACTTGACAGTTTTCGGTGTATATAGGGTTGATCCACTAGAATTAAAATGTCTTCCAAAAGGAAAACCTTGTCTTTAATTGTTGTGTGTTCTTGATCTCAAGGAGTTGAATGGGAAAGGAATAAGGTAAGGTAAAGTATGTCCTCAAGACACTAATGGAGAGCGTAATGGAACATGGTCGCAGGCCAGAGTTGAAAGCATGACACTTCGAGTTTGTGACACTGGATTGGTCTTGCAGTGTTGCTGTGAGGGCCGAATGCGGCCCCAGGACTCTGCCCAGCGGTGGAGGTTAGGTGGGGCCCTGGCCATGAAGGCAGTTAGGTTGTACAGGCCCAGTTCTTAAGTTTTGAGGACTGCTTGTGATGCTTTTTAAAGTTATTTTGAGAACTTCAACTGGATTTCTTTCCTTGTCTTTTTGACTGTTTTTGTCGAAGCCGCGACTCTTACCTGTATGCTGTTGTTGAGAGCAAGCCCCACTCCTTCCCTCTGGGGTGCCCACTCTGGGCAGGTTCCTGTGAGGTCTGCTCTGCGTGGGCCTTTCTCTTGGCTCCAGCCCCTTCCTCTGAGACCCATTTGTCTGTCTTCTCCTTTTTCAACCTGTGAACTCAGTGAGGATGATTGGGGCTGCTTAATTCTCAGCCTGGCCCTAATCGGCAGCTTTTTCAATTCTATAATTTAATCTAAGAAACTTTATCTGGTTTTTTTATGTTATATATTGATAAAGATGAGGTACTCATAATTAGCTGTCTTCACTGTCTTTTCCCCGGGGGGTGTGTCTTTCTGTAGTGGGGCTTTGTCAGCTTCTCGAATTCAGGGCTGTCTGATGTGATCTGACCTTGTCTGTGTTCCTCATTCTGCTTCAGCCATGCTGGTGTCCTTGCTCATTTGGAACATGCCGATCCACTCCTGTCTTCAGGGCCTTTGACCTTTCTTCTTCTGCCTTGAATGTCTTCCCTCTGATATCTGCATGGCTCATGTCCTGACATCCTTCAAGCTTCCTTCTGCTCAAAGCTCTACTAGTCTGAAACAGCTGCTCTGACTACCCTAAAATAGCACGCCTCTCGTTTTCTGCCCTTTATCACGCATTTTTTTTGTCCTGACACTTATCACTGCTTTTCATATTACCTGTTATTTCTCAAATAAAATGAGAATGAAAGCTACATGAAAACAAGGGCTCTTGTGCAGCCTTTGTCCTGCTCACTGCTGTATCCCTAGTACTCAGGTTCGCTGGGCACGTGGGAGACTCAGAAAATGTTTGGTGAGTGTGTAAATCCCTAGGGGCACAGGTGTGCTACTCAGTGGCTTAAAGCGTTTCGTTTGTTTGTTTCTCATCATCTGATCTTATGGAAACACAGTAGTGTGCGAAGGCATATTCCTTTGCAGGTTAGTGGCTCAAAGCCCCTTGCAGTTGGTACATTGTATTATAAATACCAGGTGTCTTATGGATATTAACAGTGGAAAGAGGCTCCTAGAAACCAAAACACTGAGAAATGGCATCTGACAGTATTTAAGGAAATGGTAGCTTAATTGGCTATAAATGCTGAGTAGTGTGGGGCCATTTAGTTTAGGGACAATCAGTATTGTGTCTCAGTAGTGCCCAGATTATCCCTTCACAGGATAGTAATTTCTTTTTCATTAAGTTCATCTTAAAAAACATATTATGAATATACTATGTGTGTATACTCTACTGGACCCTGGGCAAAGAAGGGCATGATTTGGAAGAACTTAGAGGTGGACAGATGCATAGGAAAATAGCCCAATAAGAGGAACAGTTGATAAGTGCTACAGTCACTTGAGCTGTACTGACGAGCTGTGGCTGGGTCTTCGAAGAGGCAGAAAGGAGCCGCAGGGGGCTTCCTGGATGTGTACAGTGTGCTTGGAGAATCACAAGTGCATTAGTTTGATTAGAGCAGAGTTTGTGGGAGATTAGGGATGGAGAAGCTATGTCGTTTGATGGAGTAAAGACTTAAATATTACAAAGACTAAACGTTTGATTGTATTCAGGGTTCTCTGTTTATTAAGTGTAAAGGAAAATAATGGAGTTTGGAGACCAACTCCTGTAGCCGTTGAAGGAACAGCGAGGCACGCTGATGGTTTAAT